TAGCATCACACTATTTTATGAATACTCAAAGAGTAAAAGGTTTTCAATATTCAAAGATGTGTTTACAATGGCAATAGGGCCTGGTTATATAGGCAGGGGGAAGGGGGAAGAAATACACAATACATTGAATGTAGACATAAGGAAACTTCCTAGCAACATCCTCTCTCAAAGCCTTGAAATATCAGCCATGTTTTAGGTCCTTTTATTGGAATAAAATCAGGGATGGGTGTGGTTGTAGGGTCTCCAATGAAAGGCAAACCAAGGGGAATGGATAGAATTCTTTTGGGCTGATTTGGGGGGATGTGTTCAGCCAACTAGGGGGGACAAAGGGAAAGGATAATGTGTGGTACTTTGGCTGCATATATGAGGATTTATTTGGTGGTTAAAGGGTTAAGAAAGTACCATGTTTCTCCTGGAATTTTATGGTTGTTTAGTGGGTTGTACTAGGGAACATAGTAGGGACCATGTTGGGTGGATGTTGGAAGATGAATGGGACTGTTTTGGTGTCTTATTCTGACCAGGGATTAAAATAGATAGAAGAGACTTTATTTTGGATATCAAAAAGAAATGAAATATATTTGGATGTTTAGGGTTGGGTTGGACGGAGTGGGGGTTGGCTAGCGGAACCCTTAGGTCAATAACAAAATTTATTTTGGCCTTTCAGGTTAAAAGACCTTTGATTTATCACTAAAATGGATCATAATGTTTGAACGTAAGTCCTTTGGCTCCCATGATTGTGTGAGGCGTGGGGAAGGACCTGAAAGGGTTGTGCTTGGATACATCAAAACTAACCCTTTACTCGGAAGGTTTACTACGCGAAAAACTACCACTGTCAAATGGAGCCGTTGCCGGGGAGTGGCACGGCATTAGTTTAATTTCTTCTGATTAGCTTGGTGAAGATTGGTTAGAACGATCTTCTCTTTTCTTTTCACCAACCACCCGTAATAATTATTATGGATAACTCCAGTGGTTATTATGGTCCGCCTTCTTTCTACCAATCACCCAACCCCCTCCGTTTCAAACCCATCAATCTTATCACCCACATCAGTACCCATATGGTGATAACTACCAAGACAACAATAGATCTGACTACTATCCCTACCATGAGGAACCACCATATGATACCCCGTCTAGAAACTTTGGATATTCTCCATACCAAGATTCTGATGGGGATAATTATTATGAACCTCATGGTGACCAAGATTACTATGACCAATCTGGGCCTATGTGCGATGATCAATCTGATCCACTCGTCGAAGAGATCATAAGATTAGAACAGAAAATTTTCTATTTCGACGATCTTTTATTCGCTGAAGGCTCCTGGTACGAACCACCCTACTACCGTGACTACACCTTGTTTGCTGAAGAACAAATTGAAGCAAACAAGGTGGCAATTCGAGAAAGAGCAAAACTTCTTGAATCAGTTCGGAAGGAAAAGGAGTTCGAGAGGAGATTATGCGAAGGGTCAGAGATGATGCAGAAAATTGTTGTACCCCACCATGCATCACCAAAGGGTAAGCAAAATCAGGAGTTAATGCTTAATTGTTATAATCCTTATTGGGTTGAATTCATTCCTTCTTTCCATCAAAAAGCCCAAACCATAACCCTTGCTGCCCAAAACCCTCCCTAAGCCAAGCCATAACCCACAAACCTTCTCCCACAAACATCCAAAATCATTTTATCTGTCCAAATAAAGTCTTTGTTATTCATTACTAAGCCCAGGCCGAAGGTGAATAACAAAAGGCAGAATAAAACCTTTGTTTATTTTTTTTTAGACATGATAAGCGATTATCCAACATAGATAATCGACTATTGCTTCCCTCTGAATCCTTCTAACGTATTCCTGCAATGCTCCATAACCGATTCTCTCCCAATTGAAAATCGATTATCATTCATCTCTGAAAATTCTGGGTTAGAACATAACTAATTAATCGATTATCAGTAGACGATAATCGATTATCACACGGCTCTGAACTCAGAAATCAGTAAAGTGGTTTTTGATTGAACTTTAAAGGTTTTGTCATTTAGGAACAAACTTGGCTACATACCATTCCCACTATACATGGACGAAATTCCCATGTTATTATTCAACAAAATCAAAGGCTTTTACAATATAAAACAAAGCTTAACCCCTCATCCATGTGCCTGCCCAAAAGTCTTTGATTGAATAGTAATATTTTGTCCTATATTTCACTAGAAGTCAAGCCATGTTGTTTCCTTTATTCCTTCACCCTAAGGACGAAAATCATACATAAAACCACTCAAAATACATGCCAAAATCCCTGATCATTAGCCAAGAATTCAACTCATTTGGGATATTAACACATGCACAGCATTTGTTTTATTTTGTAGGAAAGAAGTGGGAAGTTTCCTTTGTTGTATTTTATTTATCATGTAATCATGTTTGTTGTATTGTTTTNTATATTAAATCCTAATTCTATATCTTAAGAGTGGTTCTCTTAAGTGGGAGTTTTAGGTTCTAGATATATTAAATAAGTTGAGTGATTCCTTATTTAAATACTAGAGTTTAACCCGAGTGAAGGTAAGTGTGTGTGATTCCTCTTATTATTCACTTGATAAATGCTTCTTTCCCTCTCCCTTGTTTTCTCCTGAATTCAGCCTCCCCTATATTTCTATACCTTCTCTTCTTCTTTCTCTTCTTAAATTGATATCCTAGACTACCCTGGGTCTCGGGTACAACAAAAATGTTGGACGACTTTCAAAGGGAGAGACTAGAAGCTGAGGCTAAAGCTGATCAACTAGTCAATGACCTCTGTAAGGCTGCTGAGCTTAAGCGCTCCCTCGAGTCTCAAGATCCAATGTGGGAAATTAATGCTCAAATAGAGGCCCTAGAACCTAAGACCAACCCTGAAACATTCAACCATTTGGCCCCAGTTCTAGAAGATTCATCCAGACCAACACTATCACAGAAACTCGCGAGCATAACAACTCTCGCTAGGGCTACTTGTTGTACCCAAGACCCGGGGTAGTCTAGGATATCAACTTAAGAAGGGGAAGAGGGAGAGAAGGATGTAGAAATATAGGGGAGGCTGAATTCAAGAGGAAACAAAGTAGAGGGAAATAAGCATTTATCAAGTGAATAATGAGAGGAATCACACACACTTATCTTCACTCGGGTCAAACTCTAGTATTTAAATAAGGAATCACTCAACTTATTTAATATATCTAGAACCTAAAACTCCCACTTAAAAGAACCACTCTTAAGATATAGTGTTAGGATTTTATATATAGAAGTTAGAGAGAGAACTGAGCAAGAAACTTATATTATCACAATATATTTTACAAGCTGATTAATACAAAGAACCATGGCTGAAATATATAGGCCATGGAATGGAGAAACAATACAACAAACATGATTACATGATAAAGAAAATACAACAAAGGAAACTTCCCACTTCTTTCCTACAAAACAAAACAAATATTGTCCATGTGTTGATATCCCAAATGAGTTGAATTCTTGGCTAATGATCAGAGATTTGGCATGTATTTTGAGTGGTCTTATGTATGATTTTTTGTCCTTAGAGTGAAGGAATAAAGGAAATAACATGGCTTGACTTCTAGTGAAATATAAGACAAAATATTACTATTCAATCAAAGACTTTTGGGCAGGCACATGGATGAGGGATTAAGCTTTGTTTTGTATTGTAAAAGTCTTTGATTTTGTTGAATAATAACATGGGAATTTCGTCCATATATAGTGGGAATGGTATGCAGCCAAGTTTGTTCCTAAATGACAAAACCTTTAATGTTCAATCAAAAACCACTTTACTGCTTTCTGAGTTCAGAGCCGTGTGATAATCGATTATTGCCTACTGATAATCGATTAAACAGTTATGTCTTCTAACCCAGAATTTTCAGAGATGTCCAATAGTTGATTAACATTTTAGAAACAATCGATTATCAAAGCTCGGCTTCCAAATCGGATATTTTCAGAGGTGAATGATAATCGATTATCAGTTGGGAGATAATCGATTATGGAGCATTGCTGGACTATGTTAGGAGAATTTAGAGGGAAGCAATAGTCGATTATCTATGTTGGATAATCAATTATCAAGACTTTAAAAGAAGAAAAATAGCAAGCTAAGGTTTTGTTTTGTCTTTTGGTGTTCACCTTCGGCCTAGGCTTAGTAATGAATAACAAAGACTTTATTTTGGACAGAGGAAATGAGTTTGGATGTTGTGGGAGAGGGTTTGTGGGTTATGATTTGGTTTAGGGGGGGGGGTTTTGGGCAACAAGGGCTAAGGGTTGGGCTTTTTGATGGGAAAAAGGAATGAATTCAACCCAATTAGGATTATAACACTCAAGCATTAACCCCTGATTTTTCTTACCCTTTTGTGATGCATGGTGGGGTACAACACTATTGTGGTGATGTTACCTGAATACCCTCCTAGCCAAGTTCCAACCAGCATAGTCGTACATGAGGTGGAACCAACTGAGGGACCTGACTTAGAACCACCTATGCTTATTCAAGAACAGGAGGAGGAAGTTTTGCCTATGACAATAAGCGACCATCTCCTTAATTGTGTTAAAGACACACCTCCAGAGGAACTTGTTCTGGAGGAGATAGAGCCCACTACCTACCCCCAAGATTCCAACGTTCAAGAGCCTGAGGAATCTATAGACGAAGAAATACGTAGCACAGAGGAACCAATAACATCTATAGATAATCATGCTTCATCAGAAGACTTAGACCAAACTTTCTTTGACTCCCTACTTGACGAGTGTGACTTTGTCTGCCCGAATGATAATTGGAGCCAAAAGAGTTGGGATGAACTTCTGGTAAGTGACACTGAAGACTCATCCGTGGGGGAAAGAATCGTCGTAATCATCAAACCGCAAATGGATAGTCAGCCCGTTGAAGACAAGGAAGAAATCAATCTTGCTATGAAGGCCAATGATGTGGATCAACTGAGGAGACTGCCGCCCCCACCCACCTATACAAAGTCTTCTCCATATATCCTGTTTCCACCAAGCCGCAGGAATGAGTCAAGGATCCTGGACCTTGACCGAGCAAAATATCAAACAATGTGGCATCAGAAGAGAGTCAAAAGGGCCAAACTTTATGACTCTCGAATCGGTAAGTCGCGGAAAAAGTGGGTGAGCGTCAAGCTACAGACGTTAAAGAAGCGCTTAACGGGAGGCAACCCGCCATTCAAATAACTAAAATATTTAAGTAAATTCAATAATTTTATTTGTTATTTTTTAGTTCCTCCTTCCCCACCAGTTTTGGGGGCAAGATTTTATGTGTTTGTTTATGTGTGTGCAGATGCCTCATCGTTCTTCTTACCCTACTGTGGACCGTAATGAGGTCCAACTGATTGATGCTGCTTCTAGGACGAGGTTCGATGAGTGGGGATACTCACGGGTGTTACACGAGTCTGTGTGTCTGGCTCAAGACACACTGACGCACTATGGCTATGCAGAGGAGATGGAGGAGCTGCTTGAGGGGACCATATGGCAGCGCCTGCTTCAGATCAGAGTCTAGCCTACCTCTGACCATCGAGTTCTTATGCTCGATATCTGCTGTCCTAGAGATTGAGTCATGACAGATGATTCATACTTTGATCACTGCTGATACCACATTTGCCTTCACTCTTGCGGGCCAGTCATTTCAGTTGACAGTGAGAGAGATGGGTGTTCGTCTCGGGCTCTACACCCAGGAGGAGACCGAGCAGCCTGAGTTCTACGACAATCCCTTTTGTCTTCCTGCAGACTTTGATGCTATAGCTTCTGGAGGGAGCACTCATCTGACAACAAGGATTTCGTCAACAAGAAGAGTAAGGTGCGATACTGGATTCAGCCTAGTTGGAGGATCTTATCTTTTGTTCTCTCGACATCCTTCTTTGGGAGGCCATCGAACACTGATAGGGTCTACGAGAAGGATATGTTTGTCTTCTAAAGCTTGCACGACCGCCAGCCGGTGAACGTGGCTGTGTACCTGGCCAGATTCTTATACTCCCAATCCTACGGGTGTAGGACGCACTTGGTGTGTGGGTTTGTGATTACTTTGCTCTTTCGCTCCCTCGTGGGGAATTCACCCATCCCACGGCCTGTGCAGTTGATGAGGGATTTAGATGACGGCATGCTCCGGAATGCTCACATCCACCGGAGACTCTTTCCTAGCTCTTCTGAGAGCACTACGGCCTCTACTGGCCGCACTTCACATGAGATGGGAGAGTCTTCCGGTTAGTCACAGAGATTGTCTCAGCGCCTTCCTCGTCGACGACCTACCAGATCACAATTGGCTCGCGCTCAGACGGAGGTAGCACTGGCATGGGCCCAGCAGCTCTTGGAGAACCAGAACACACTTATGCAGTCAGTCGCGGCACTCGAGCAGCAGGTGCATGGTTTAGACAGGATACGTGAGGCGTTGGGTTTTGAAAACCCGACAAACCTCCCGCCGCATCAGCAGCGGCCCCGAAACGATGATCCTTCCACCTCTCAGCCTCCGCAGTGATCTCCTACTTTTTCAGAATTTTTTTATCTTATTTGAGCTGGAATTGATGACTTGACTGGTTTAATTGGATTCGTGTTTGACTTCTTCTGGTAAACTTTTATTGTTATGCTTATTTACTATTTCAATCATCATTTTGAATATTTTACATATGCAATCATCTTAGTCATCATATCCTTGATATTTCAACCAAAGATTCTACTTCGAAACACTTTTTTTTGCCGCGAGGGCGCGGTTCCGTTCAAGTGTGAGGAGGATGTGAATTATTGGTTGAAATATTCCGGGTTAGAATTGTTTGCTTTGCATATTTGTGGGTAAAAATTTTATAAGTATGGTCATCAACTCTTTTCTTTAAATAATTAAGTTTTTAGTTATCACCCATAAAAATTGGGAATTTTTAAATTTTTGTCAACTTTTATTCTTTTTCCCTAATTTTTTTTCAAACGATTTCTAAAATCATTTGGGATACATTAGTATTTTCTAAGTTTTTTTAAGATCAATCAATTTTTAAATAGCTTCTTTAAAAATGTCATTTCTCATAAAGGTTTCTTCTAAATATAAGGGTCTATATAAAGAAATTCTAATGGTTTAAATTTTATTTGTTGGGATTGCGCTTAAGTGACGAATTGGAAATTCTATCTTCGTAAAGGGGCTCTGCTTCTCCCGTTAATCGCATAAGGCGAGGGAGTAAGTATGCATTTGTTATAGAATAAATCCACAATCTCAATAATAAAATATGCCTTGGTGATTCCGAGATTTCTCTCGTGATAAATAATGCTTAATAAAATAGGCCCTTATTGCGTGACAAAAACCTTTTTGGAAATCCATTTTTATTAGAGCTTTTAAACGCTTTTTGATTTTAAAATAATCCTTAGAAATATGATTGTCCCACTGAAAAATTAGAATTTAGTTTTGATTTAATTGGGTAAAAATATTGGTTTGACAAAATACTTTTAAATTTCTGACAATATGGGTGAGAATCTATAAATTTACTTGTTCATGCAAAAACGTTGATGACCATCTTATCTTTCTTTTCCTTGAAGTTGTGCAACTTAAACTTTTCCTCTGTGATTACTAATTTGTTTTCATACTTAACTTATTCAATTTGTTGCTTGAGGGCAAGCAACGTTTAAGTGTGAGGAATTTGATAAGTTCATTTTGTTCTTATTTTATCCTACATATTTTAAGCGTTATTGCACGAAAATAGTAATAAATTTACCCATTAAAAGTGTCTATTAGTGACAAAACTTGTGTTTTGTCTCAAGAAGAATAAAATACGGGTTCCAAATTAAATTAAGTGGATTTGTCAATTTTATGTACGAATTGGATAAAAAGTTTTAGATTTTAAAGATCATAATACTTCGGAGGTAGAAACCAGTGTCCGGGAGCCAATTGGGCCAATACGAAATAATTTCAGGCCCAAATTTGCAAGGAATCGCGATTGGAGCCGAATTGGGCTTCGGATTTGGGTTCTGGGCGCCAAAGTTGGACGCCTAGGGTAGTTGGACGCCCAACAAACACATCGCTCCTCTCACTCCTTCCACACCATTTTCAACCCCATTTCGGGTTTCTCCTTTATTTTACTCCATATTTCGTGTATATTTGCTTTAATATTAGTTTGGAAGTATTTTCGGAGGTTTTGACTCAAGATCTGTCGTGTTCTGCTTTTTCGGAAGTTGTAAGTTTACTTTATTTAATATAATGCTGTTTTAATTTATGTTTACATAGTATGAGTTAGAGTCCAGATCTCTGGGTCCGGACTAGTTTGGTGATATATTTTGAATGTTAATTTAATGTTGGAATGGTTTAATCTATTGTTCTTGCCTTATTTAGTTAATTAATATCGGAAGATTTAGTTAGATATTTATTGTGAAAATATTGTATGTCAATTGACTATGATATTCAAGTGCAACGGATTAAGTACAAATCTAGAAATGGATGAGTAGTAATAGAAATATTATTATTCCAATTGTTAATTTAATATGATAAAATAGATCCAGATGATGTCCTGGTTCTAGGTTCAGATCTACACTTATACTATGTAGACTTGATTTATTATTTTTACTCTGCTTATTTTACAATCGCTCCGAGAAGACTTTCATAAACCAATCCTAACATTCGCCTAGTTAGAAAATTTAAACTAATTTCCTTCGTCCACTCCTCGAGAGACACGAAACTCGGAGAGAAAACTAACCCTTTACTAGGAAGGTTTACTACCCGAAAAACTACAACTGTCATTGGGTCTTCTTGTCGTCCACTTTAATGCCTTCGCCTGAGATAAAATATCCCAAGAACTCTGTTTCTTGAGAAAAGAACTGACTTTTCTCAAGATTCCCATATAGCTTTTCATCATCTAACCTTTTAATCACCAAGGAAAGGTGATTAACATGGTCTTCTTCACTTTTGCTATAGATCAAAATGTCGTTGAAGTAAACTACGACAAAATGACCGATAAAAAAAATTAGCACTTGGTTCATGAGCCTCATGAACGTACTCGGTGCATTGGTTAGACCAAACGGCATGACTAGCCATTCGTATAACCCAAACTTCGTTTTAAACGCTGTCTTCCATTCATCACCTTCATAGATACGAATCTGGTGGTACCCACTTCGAAGATCAATCTTCGAGAAGATTTTGGATCCATAGAGCTCGTCCAACATATCTTCAAGCCTAGGTATCGGATACCTATACTTGATGGTGATTTTGTTTATCGAACGACTATCACAACACATCCTCCAAGTACCGTTCTTTTTAGGTACCAAGAGAGCCGGGACAGCGCATGGGCTTAAGCTCTCTCTAATGAATCCTTTGCCAAGTAATTCATCCACTTGTCGTTGTATCTCCTTAATTTCCTCGGGATTCATACGGTAGGCGGGTTTGTTAGGGAGGGCAGCCCCTAGAATCAGATCGATCTTATGTTGTATGTCCCATTTTGGAGGAAGACCATGAGGGATATCATCAGGAAAGACTTGGGAGTATTGTTGGATGAGGTGTTTGGCTAAGGGATGGATAAAAGGAGGGGCAGGGGCTGGTTCGGCCTCAAGGGTGTCAAGGAGAATGAAGTCTTTGTGATGTTCGTATTCGTGTTGTTTGGAGTGGAGTATGGTAGAGAGGAGGATGGGGGGATCTTTTTTGGTGGGTGGGGTGGCCGAATGAGTGGCAGGGGGTAGTGAAGTGAGGGTGATCTTCTTCTTATTCATGAGGAATGAATAAGTGTTGGCGAACCTGTCATGAAAAACTTTGCGATCAAAGAGCCAAGTCTGCCCAAGAGAATATGGCAAGCATCCATAGGTATAATGTCACATCATATCTCATCGGTGTAGCTTTTCCCGATTGTTATACCCGAACCCGGGGTCTTATCATTTAGATAATTTGAGGGCGGGATTATGGAGGAATTGGTAGCAAACCAGAACAGCTGTTAAACTTCAAGAGAGGCTGATAGTCGACTGACAGAAGGAGACAATCGATTGTTAGAGACTGCAGGAATCCTGGGGGACGTGATAATCGATTGACAAAAGGAGACAGTCGACTATTGAAGGCTACAGAATTTCTGGGGAAGCTGATAGTCGATTGTCTAAGGAAGACAGTCGACTGTTGAAGGCTACAGATGTTTTTACGGAGGGCTGATAATCGATTCCCTCAAAGGATAATCGATTATTTGACAGGTTTCTAGGCAGGAAGAAGGGTGTTTTGTGGGGGAATGGCTTGGAAATATATGGAGATGATGAAGGAGTTCTTTTGGGGTATTTTAATGGAGGAAAAGAATAAGGTTAAGAAGAGAAATGGGGGGATATGAAATGGAAGAAAATCAGGGATGGATAAACCAAGTTGGTGTTTAAGAGATATTACACACTCTTATCCTCACTTGGGGTTTGAATCTAGAATTTAATTAAGATATGACACACTTAATCAAATATCTAGAACCTAAAACTCACACTTAAGATAACCACTCTTAAGATATAGAATTAGGAATTTGGCTAAAATAGCATCACACTATTTTATAAATACTCAAAGAGTAAAAGGGATTTTTAATATTCAAAGATGTGTGTTACAATGGCCATATGGCCTGATTATATAGGCAGGGGAAGGGGGGAAGGAAAACACAATACATTGAATGTAGACATAAGGGGAAGCTTCCTAGCAACATCCACTTCCAAAGTATGGGGTAACACCCATTGAATCATGTCTCCAAAGTGGAATAAAATTCAGGGATGGGGCTGGGGTTGTGGGGGTTTTGAGGTTTGGTTTGTAGTGGTTGTTTCCTGGTTTTTAAGGCTATTATTTGGGTAAAAATGAGGGGTTGTGTTTGGCCAATAAAAGGGGACAGGGCTGGGAAATATTAGGGGTGGTTTTGGACATATGGGTTTGGGTTATTGTGAGGAAAAAATGGGCAGGAATGAATGGCTAGTGGTGGGTCAGGTTTTTGGCCTTTTGTGGGTGTTTATGTTGGGATTGTGAGATTTAATTGGCCAGGAAATAAAGGGAGGAGAGAGGGTTTTATTTGTTTATTGGAAAGGCTTAAAAGAAGGAAAATAACAACAAACAAAAGGTTTTGGTTCACACATTCTTATTTTGGCTAGGGGCTAAAATAAGAGTAGGAAAACTTTATTTGGAAAAAGGAAATGTTTTTGGATGTTCAGGGTTGGGTGGGGTGTTGGTTCGGCCTAGGGGGGTGTAGGACAACCACGGTGTCGGTTTGGGCTTTGAGATAGGGCAACAGAGTGAATTTAATCCAAATAACGTCGCCACACTTCGGCCTCATTCTCTTGATCCGCCTTCCCTTTTGTGGGCTACGGGAAGTCTTCGTGGATGCTCCCGGATATCTAACACCGATGCTTAATGAGACCAAGCTTTGTGAATCCACACGCAATCCTTTTCCGTGATTCAACCACTGGATTGTATATGGCTTAGGATGGGGTGAGGTTTTAAGCTTTAGTTTTTCAACCGATGTTTTGGAAGCGATGTTGGTACAACTTCCGCTGTCTACGATCAATGTGCACACCTTCTTTTGGATGGTACAACGGGTGTGGAAGATATTTTCCCGCTGTATTTGTTCATCCGGGGCTGCCATACTGCTCAAAGCTCTTCGAATGACTAAGAGCTCTCCTTCATCCGCACCAATGTACTCTTCTTCTCCTAGCTCTTCTTCGGCCCATGAAGGGCTGATTTCTTCTTCTTCATACTCTACGATGGCCATTATCTTTTTGTTGGGACACTCATTGGCATAGTGTCCTATCCCTTGACATCGGAAGCATTTTGGGGTTCGGGTATTGGTGGGGTTGGTTTTTGGAGGTGGCGGGTTGGATGATGAAGGGGTGGAGGTTGGTTTTGAAGAGGAGTTTTGGAGAGTGGAGGGTGTTATGGAAGTGGAGGTGTTGTACCCGAGACCCGGGGTCTTATCGAGTAGCTATATTGTGGCGGATTTGCGGAAGGAAATGGATGTTGGAATTGAAGGGGTGAAATATGGAGTGTGGGAAAGAGTTCTTTTTGGTGTTTTCAATGAGAGAAAAGAATAAGTTTAAGAAGAAGAAATGGTGAGGAATGAAATGGGCAGAAATAAAGTGAAGGGATAAACCAAGTTGGTGTTAAGAGATATGACACACTCTTATCTTAACTTGGGGCTTTTATCTTCTTTTACACATTAATAATCACTACTAATGTATAAAATTAGACTCCTAACACGCACTCAAAAGTAGCCAACTTTAGAGATATTTCATTAGGAAATTCTGATAAAATAGCATCACACTATTTTAAAGGAATTACTCAAAAGAGTAAACAAGGTTTTTAATTCAATAATCTGATTTTCATGGCCTATGGCCGAACTAGTTATATACATTACAAGAGAGAAAAGAAAGAACATTATAACAAGGAAACTTCCATCAACATTATCTTCACAAATCAAGGAACAATGACTTGTTTATTATCTTCTCTTAGTGGAGTGAATTTATGACCAGAATGAGGATCTCCTTTGGCTTGTTTTAGGATGTGGATTCGGCCTTATGTGTACAAAGTCAAGAGGGAGGGATTATGGCTTCGTTTGAGGATATTCTTTGGCTTTGTGTGGAGACTTATTCGGCCTTTTGTGTGGGAAAAAAAATCAAGGAAGGGTCCTTAAGTGGCTGGTTGTACAACTATTCAACAAACTCACAAAAGTGTACTATTCCCTTTATGACTATGAAGAGGGAAATTCGGCCTTATGCAATGGGTAGATATTTAGGTTTTGTTTTGTTGTAAAAGGATGGATTCCTTGTTTAAAATGGGAAGGATATTTCGGCCATATTAGGGAAGAATGGGAAAAAGTCATTCTTGTCCTAAAATGACAAAATAGGAACTATTCAACCAAGGACCACTTTTATGAGATGATTAAATATTATTTACGTGAAATAACGTTTAGAATATGATGTAAATGATAAGAACGAAACGGACTTATCATTTTTGTTTCTTGTTGCCAGGTCTTAGAAAAGAAAGGGGGGATATTTATGGGTTATTTGATTTATGTTTTATTTGATAAGGAAGGATGTGGGTAAGGGGGGGGGGGGGGTACGGCCATGGCTGAAATAGGAAGAAAAATGGGGTATTGTTTTAGTGTTTTAGGGTGAGGACAATGGATTGTTAATGGAGGTGTTTTGGGGTGGGTTCGGCCTGGGATGGAAAGGAAGAAGAATGGAGTATGGTCTAGGGTATTTTAGGGCGAAGACAATTCCAAGGCAATTATGGTTAAGGGTTTGGGTTTAGGAAGGGTAAATTCATTCAAAAAAGGAACGTAAGATTTAGTCATTAATCCAGTAATTTATTTAAGGACTTTACTAGGTACCGGGGGTATATCATCGGGTATAACATTTGGTATCACATTTGGTATCAGAGCTAAGTGCTAAACATCCCCAAGGCCCATTCACCATCCCTACCAAGAAGTAAGCATTTTTGAGCTCAAAACTCCCTTTCTCTCTCCCTAAACCCCACAACCAAACTAAACTGCGCTTCTCACCTTTTTCCCACTTCAACCATGTCAAATGAATCCCAACCCATGTCCCATGAAGAGCTTGTTGCCTCCAACGTAGCCTTGAAGGCCCAAGTTGAATACTTGGCCAAAGAAGTGGCTAAGCTCACCAAGATAAAGCTCAAAACCCTTTAAGGAAGTGATCATGAGGATGATGCTAGCACCAGTAGCACCAACAAGGCCAAAACTAATGACGGGTCTGACTTCAAGGTTGATGTCCCAACTTTTGAGGGAAAGAACAACATGGACGAATTTCTAGAATTGCTAGAGAAGGTGGAACGCATTTTCAATTTCAAAGAAGTCTCCGATGAGAAGAAGGTCAAGATAGTGGCCTTGAAGTTCCACAAGGATGCATCTACTTGGTGGACTAATACGTGCACCAAATGGAGAAGAAACCACAAGGAGCCGGTGGCTACATGGGCCAAAATGAAGTCTCTCTTAAAGAAGAAGTTCTTGCCCGCTGAATATGTTCGTGAGAATTTTGCCAAGCTTCAAACGCTTAAGCAAGGTTCTAAATCGCTTGAAGAATACACCCGCGAGTTCGAGGAACTCTTTCTAAGGTGTGACTTGCAAGAAGATGATGAGCAAACCTTTGTACGATAACTATTCTGCTTAAACCTACAAATAGCCAATACGGTAGAGTTGCAAAGTTAGGAATCCCTGGAAGAGCTTACCAAACTAGCCCTTAAGGTTGAAGCACAAATAAAGAAATCCAAAGCCCTTCTTTCCAAGGGTAACTCCTCCTACACACGGCCCAACCCCACTTTCCAAAAGCCAAACTATCCCCCATCCAAAGCACCCTTCAACTCCACCAAAACTACCCCTACCACCCACGGATCCCTCCCCTCTCCCTCACCTAAGAACCCCTCCTCCTCTCTTCCTCCTAGAACGGACTCGACAAGGAAAGCACCCATTTGCTTTCGATGTCAAGGACGACGAGGTCATTATGCTAACGAGTGCCCCAACAAAAGGTGATGGAAATCGTTAAGTGTGATGAAAAAGAATTTGATCCAACTTGGGCTGAAGAGAACATGGAAGAAAACAAAGAGCAAGATGAATGCATTGGCCCCGGTGAAGGAGAGCTATTGGTCATTCGAAGGACTTTGAGTACCATAGCATGTCCCGAAGAACAATTGCAACGGGAGAACATTTTAACACTCGTTGCACCGTACAAAAGAAGGTGTGTTCTCTTATCTCTGTGTTTTTCCCCCACCAAAGGAACATCAACAAGTGTCCATTAATTCCTTTAGTTTGTGTGAATAAGAGACTTGGTAGTCTCCTTTTTCTATGCCTATATAAGCTCATTCCTGAGCATTCTAAACACACATTGTATTCCCATTTTCAACTTAGTAATACACTTGTTTGTGTGTGCTATTTTAAATCCCTAAATCTATATCATAAGAGTGGTTCTCTTGAGTGTGAGTTTTAGGTTCTAGTTATATAGATAAGTGTGTCATATCTTATTTGAATATTAGAATCAACCCCAAGTTAGGATAAGAGTGTGTAATATCTCTTAACCCCAACTTGATAATATCTATCCCTGATTTTCTCCCACCCTATATCCCTCCATTTCTCACTCTAAACCCCCTTCTTTTCGTCCCTTAAGCCAAAAAGCACGCTATCATTCCTTCCCATAACTTCCCTACCCACCCCAGCCATATTCCTTCCATATTGAAACCTCAAGTAACCCTGCTAATCAATTATCCTTCACTGATAATCGACTATGTGACAACCCTGAACTTCCTTGGCAGAATCCGAAAACCAAAATAATCGATTATCAACTATTGATAATCGACTATCCTGCCTTTCTGAATTTTCTTAGCCTAAACCACACAATCCCACAATCGATTATTGCTTAAGTGATAATCGACTTTTCCCCCCTCCCTGAACTCCCAATAATCTTCCCGAGAAACTGAACCCCTTGTTAGTCGATTATCATACCTTAATAATTGATTATCTCTTTCTTCTGCAATTTAAGAAGCTTTGTTCTTATACTAAAAGCCTAATCCCGGAGCTCAGGTATAACATTTGGTATCAAAGATAAGTGTTGAACATCCCCAAGGGCCATTCACCATCCCTACCAAGAAGTAAGAATTTTTGAGCTCAAAACTCCCTTCCTCTCTCCCTAAACCCCACAGCCAAACTAAACTGCCCTTCTCACCTTTTTCCCACTTCAACCATGTCAAATGAATCCCAACCCATGTCCCATGAAGAGCTTGTTGCCTCCAACGCAGCCTTGAAGGCCCAAGTTGAATACTTGGCCAAAGAAGTGGCTAAGCTCACCAAGATAAAGCTTAACGCCCTTCAAGGAAGTGATCATGAGATGATGCTAGCACCAGTAGCACCAACATGGCTAAAACTAATGATGGGTCTGACTTCAAGGTTGATGTCCCAACTTTTGAGGGAAAGAACAACCTGGACGAATTTCTAGAATTGCTAGAGAAGGTGGAACGCATTTTCAATTTCAAAGAAGTCTCCGATGAGAAGAAGGTCAAGATAGTGGCCTTGAAGTTCCACAAGGATGCATCTACTTGGTGGACTAATACGTGCACCAAATGGAGAAGAAACCACAAGGAGCCGGTGGCTACATGGGCCAAAATGAAGTCTTTCTTAAAGAAGAAGTTCTTGCCCGCTGAATATGTTCGTGAGAACTTTGCCAAGCTTCAAACGCTTAAGCAAGGTTCTAAATCGCTTGAAGAATACACCCGCAAAGTGATGTACCCCTGAATGACTCCAACAAAACCCAAACTCTTCCAACATATCCAAAAGTCTTCTTTCTTTTCCTTAATTCAAAATAAAGTCTTTCCTATCAATTTTTAACTCCAGGTCAAAAATGAAATCAAAGGAAGACAAGTCAAACCTTAGTTTCTTGTTATCTTTTAAAACCTTTGTTTGTTTCTTTTCAAATCCTTTTATCCAAATAATGTCTTTCCTTCTTTCTCTTCCCATCCTGATCCTGAAAGCCTGAATAATTGATTATACACAACTGATAATCGACTATTCTATCATTCTGATACCTTGTCACAAATTAGCAACCTCCAACAATCGATTATCTTCAAACTAATAATCGATTATCTGTGTACTCTGAAAAATACCCAGTTTTGGTGCAAGCCGTGTTAATCGATTGTGCTTCAGTGTTAGTCGATTATTGGGCGTCTCTGAATATTTCCGGTTTGGAACCAAATCTTGCTAATCGATTACCCACAGATATTAATTGATTATTCTACATCCCTGAACCTTGAAACTCAAAGTTATTCAATTCTTGTTTGCCTTTTCTAAGCTTGGGTATAAAGCTGAAATTATCCCCTGATTTTCAACAAAGGATAAAGTCTTTGGTTTCACAAAGCAAAAACATAATCACTTTTGAAACAAAGGAACAAAAATCAGAAACAAAGTCATTGAATGAACAGTGCTGTTTTGGCATTTTATTCACAAAAGTCTAAAGCTTGATTCCCTTTTGTTTTCTTCCTTATATGCACGAAATTCTCCCTAAATAAACCCAAGGAAGATCAGCCCAAAATCAGGAGAAGCATCTTGGAAAATCATCTCACATGGAAGGACATTAATCTTTGATTTTTAGGAAAGAAGTAGGAAGTTTCCTTTATTGTATTTTTCCTTATTTGTTGTTATATAAATACTTCAGCCATGAGGCCATTGTAACAGAACCAGATTATTGAATTAAAAACCTTGTTTACTCTTTTGAGTAATTCCTTTAAAATAGTGTGATGCTATTTTAACCAAATTTCCTAATGAAATATCTCTAAAGTTGGCTAGTTTTGAGTGCGTGTTAGGAGCCTAATTTTATACATTAGTAGTGATTATTAATGTGTAAAAGAAGATAAAAGCCCCAAGTTAAGTTAAGAATGTGTCATATCTCTTAACACCAACTTGGTTTATCCCTTCACTTTATTTCTGCCCATTTCATTCCTCACCATTTCTTTTTCTTAAACTTATTCTTTTCTCTCATTAAAAACACCAAAAAGAACTCTTTCCCACACTCCATATTTCATCCCTTCAATTCTATCATCCATTTCCTTCGGCTTGCAAGAAGATGATGAGCAAACCTTTGTACGATACCTATTTGGCTTAAACCTACAAATAGCCAATACGGTAGAGTTGCAAAGTTATGAATCCCTAGAAGAGCTTACCAAACTAGCCCTTAAGGTTGAAGCACAAATAAAGAAATCCAAAGCCCTTCTTTCCAAGGGTAACTCCTCCTACATACGGCCCAACCCCACTTTCCAAAAGCCAAACTATCCCCCATCCAAAGCACCCTTCAACTCCACCAAAACTACCCCTACCACCTACGGACCCCTCCCCTCTCCCTCACCTAAGAACCCCTCCTCTCTTCCTCCTAGAACGGACTCGACAAGGAAAGCACCCATTTGCTTTCGATGTCAAGGACGACGAGGTCATTATGCTAACGAGTGCCCCAACAAAAGGTGATGGAAATCGTTAAGTGTGATGAAAAAGAATTTGATCCAACTTGGGCTGAAGAGAACATGGAAGAAAACGAAGAGCAAGATAAATGCATTGGCCCCGATGAAGGAGAGCTCTTGATCATTCGAAGGACTTTGAGTACCATAGTATGTCCCGAAGAACAATTGCAACGGGAGAACATTTTTACATTCGTTGCACCGTACAAATACTTGAGAAAAAGGGAATAAATCATCAAAGAATCAAGATTCGGGCTTGAACGAGCTTCCAGGAGGTCAAAAACAGTGTCCGGGACCAAAACAGAGCAAAATTGGGCCAAAATCACGAAACAGCCGCGACACCCAACGGACCAAGGCCTTAAGGCGTCCAACTTGGACGCTTGGCCAAGTTGGACGCTTGGGAGTTGGACGCTTTGGCTTAATTGTAGCCCAAGAATGACACGTGGCAAAATCTGGTTGGCCGTGGACGCCTTGGCTCCGTTCCTATAAATACAGCGCGATCCCTCTCATTTTTATCATCCAACTTCATCCCAACTTCGAGATTTACTCTTCTAAACTCCATTATAGTTTGTAGTATAGTTGTAGTAGTTAGTTTTGAAGTATTTTCGGAACTCTAGATCTGTTTTGTTCCCCTTTTATGGAGGTTGTAAGTTTTTCCAATTTAATATAATGTTGTTTTAATTATTTTTCATAGTATGAGTTAGGGTTCAGACCCATGGGTTCAGACTAGTTTGGTTGTTTATTATGTTAAATTAATGTTGGAATGGTTAATCTATTGTTCTTGCCTTATTTGGTTAATTAAACTCGTAAGATTTAATTGGCTATTTATTGAGAAAATATTGTATGCCAAAGGCATATGATATTCAAGTGCAACGCATTAAGTACAAATCTAGAAATGGATGAGTAGTAATAGAAATATTATTATTCCAATTGTTAATTTAATATGATAAAATAGATCCAAATGATATCCTGACCCTAGGTCCAGATCTGCACTTATACTATGTAAAATTGATTTATTATTTTTACTCTGCTCCTTTTATAATCGTTCCGAGAAGACTTTCATAAACCAATCCTAACCTTCGCCTAATTAGATTAATTAAACTAACTCCCTTCGTCCACTACTTGAGAGACACGACACTCGGAGAGAAAACCAACCCTTCACTGGGAAGGTTTATGTTGGGTTCTACGCTTGGATAGGGCAGCGGAAATATAAAAATTTTGGGTCCAAACGTAGATCCACCCAGGACCTCTTATGATTATTATAAGTTATTGTTTAGAAATATACCTTTCTTGGCGAGCAAGTAACGATATATGTGCAGGTTGATGGATTGATCCAAGAGCTAGCCACAAAAGTATATGACCTCCAGTTGAGACACACGAACAACTAAGTATATATATATACACTTATATATATATATATATATATATATATATATATATATATATATATATATATATATATATATATATACGGCGATACATATATAAATATATATACGCACATACATATAAATATAAATATAATGTTATATTTTGTTCCTTAAATAATATTTGACAAACTTAATTATCATATAATTAAAATGTCCAAATATCAAATATATAAATATATATATTCTAGCGCCTTAATAATAATAAAATAAAATAATAAAAAATTTATTATTCACATATATATATCCGAATATATATATACTTTATTATTATTAAATATATTTGACAAACTTAATTATCACATAATTAAAATGTCCAAATATAAATATTTATTTATATACGTGTTTGTGTATCTAATCATATTGTCACACAATATAATATACACAACATATAAATAAAGTGCAACTTTACTCCACTTAAAATATTCTACACTTTCATATGTTCTATGTGTGTGACCCTATTCTAGGCATCTATAAAATTGGCCATAGTATCGATTAAATACTACAAGTGATAAGAGGTATCTAGCAACACATAATCACCCACAAATTATAGATTAAAGCTCTTGGAACAATTCCTTCAACGACACATCCTATTTGTATAACCCTTATCCCTTTATCACTAATATCTTGATTTAACACAATGTATGGGGTGTGTCACCTTGTTAAAGTTAAATCGATGGTTTACTGATTCTTCGATTGACTTGTGGGATTCAAATAACATATTTATTTGGGCATGGCCATGCACTTCCCAAGTCACATCAATCAGTGGGCCCTAAGATATTATACTTCATTAAAGAAGGGATAAATTCTGTCTACGTCATTCACATCTTCGCTTAAGTTTCATTGCATACCCAAAACATAACTGTACATCCACCAATATTTCAGATGGCATAAATCATGCCTCAAAGNCTCAAAGTATACAACTCAACTTACCAAAGAATGTAATGACTTCAAGTCAAAGGATAGTTATACTAATGGTCGCATGAGAATAATATTAACACTTTAACTCAAACCCATATATTATTCTCATAGCGGGTCAATCCAGCAACATATCCAATATGGTTGCCTACGTATAGATTCAGATAACACTTTATCTATAGCCTATGAGACGCAGCTATCTCATCTCATACGTATTAGTATTGATATATTATGATGTCCGTATTGTCATAATATTCGACTAAGGATATTTTAGACGTAGCCTCTATCTTTGTAACAGCCTCATAATTAGAACATCGTAGTTCTCATCTATGTTACTAGAGCGCCTACTCTATGGACTAAAGCTATGTTTAAATCACACGAGACAACTTAAACAATCTTTAGGGTCTATTGTTCTTGATATAATATAGATATGGAATCATAAGTTGGCCTCTAGGGCTCACTTATATTCAACAGTTTACTACCCGAAAAACTACAATTGTGAAATGGCGCTGTTGCCGGGGAGTGGCACGACATTAGTTTAATTTCTTCTGATTAGCTTGGGTGAAGATTGGTTAGAACGATCTTCTCACCTCTTTTCACCAACCACCCGTAATAATTAATATGGATAACTCCAGTGGTTATTACGGTCCGCCTTCTTTCTACCAATCACCCACCCGCCCTCCGTACCATCCACCTTAACACCCACATCAGAACCCAAATGATGATGACTACCAAGTCAACAATGGGTCTGACTACTATCCCTACCATGAGAAACCACCATATGATACTTCGTCTAGAAACTTTGGATATTCTCCATACCAAGATTCTGATGGGGATAATTATTATGAACCTCATGGTGACCAAGATGACTATGACCAATCTGGGCCTATGTGCGACGATCAATCTGATCCACTCGTCGAAGAGATCATAAGATTAGAACAGAAAATCTTCTATTTCGACGAAGTCTTATTTGCTGAAGGCTCCTGGTACGAACCACCTTACTGCCTCGACTACACTCTGTTTGCCGAAAAACAAATTGAAGCAAACAAGGTGGCAATTCGAGAAAGAGCAAAACTTCTTGAATCAGATCGGAAGGAAAGGGAGTTTGAAAGGAGATTACGCAAAGAATCAGAAAGGATGCAGAAAATGCTGGACGACTTCCAAAGAGAAAGACTATAAGCTGAGCCTAAAGCTGATAAATTATTCAATGATCTCTGCAAGGCTGTTGAACTTAAACGCTCCCTCCAATCTCAAGATCAAATGAGGGAGATTAATGTTCAAAAAGAGGCTCTAGAACCTAAGACCAACCTTGAACGCATTAACAGTCGTAGTTTTTCGGGTAGTAAACCTTCCCAATAAAGGGTTAGTTTTCTCTCCGAGTGTCGTATCTCTCGAGGAGTGGACGAAGGGAATTAATTTAACTACTCTAATTAGGCGAAGGTTAGGATTGATTTATGAAAGTCTTCTCGCAACGCTTGTAAAAAAGGCAGAGTAAAAATAATAAATCATGTCTACATAGTATAAGTGTAGATCTGGACCTAGGGTCAGGAAATCATCTGGATCTATTTTATCATATTAAATTAACAATTGGAATAATAATATTTCTATTACTACTCATCCATTTCTAGATTTGTACTTAATCCGTTGCATTTGAATATCATAGTCAATTGACATACAATATTTTCACAATAAATAGCTAATTAAATCTTCTGATATTAATTAACTAAATAAGGAAAGAACAATAGATTAACCATTCCAACATTAATTTAACATAATAAACAACCAAACTAGTCCGGACCCAGAGATCCGGACCCCACACTTATAATACTATGCAAACATAAATTAAAACACCATTTTATTAAATAAAGAATACTTACAACTTCCGTAAAAGCGGATTTGAACAGATCGGGAGTAGAATTCCTCCAAAAATTATTCTAAAACTACTATAATAATAAACTAGAACTTGGAACTGAAATATAGAGCTCAATTCCCGAGAATGGGAGTGATGGTGATGGATGGAATGTGGAGAATCGCGCTGTATTTATAGGACAGAGGCCGAGGCGTCCAAGTCGAAGCGTCCAAGTTCAGGCGTCCAGATCGGGACGCTTGAGCTGCTCCGGCCAATCAGGTTTTGCCACGTGTCTTCCTTGGTCTGCAATCTAGCCAAGGCGTCCAACTTGGCCAAGCGTCCAAGTTGGACGCCTTGGGCCCTGGTTTGTTTGGGCTTCGTGGCTGATGCGAGATCTTGGCCCAATTTCGATGCTTTTCGGCCCGAACGTTGATTTTATCCTCCCGGAAGCTCGTTCAAGCCCGAATCTTGATCCTTTGATGATTTATTTCCTTTTTCTCAAGTATTTGAACATAAAATGGATGATTTATGATGATTTCTCATCACACGACATAGAACCGCATGCTTTTTTACTCAAACACTCAAAAGGCCTCATCACGCAATATAGAACTGCGTGCTTTTTGCCATACTCACCACGCCTCATCAATTGACATAGAACCAATTGCTTTTTGGCTAAAACAAGAATCTCGGTCTCACCAAAGTACTCTTTGAAACATCACCCCCTATACTTTGAAAATAACTCTTTTTTTAAGAAATAATAAATACTCATAGCCCGAGAGATAAATGAGTATTTATAAGAAGATTTTCAATAAAGCAACTTAAAATTGATTGATCTTAAAAACTCTTAGTAAATTGAATTTATCCCAAGTCATTTTAGAAAACGATCCTAAAAGGTTAGAGTAAGAATAAAAATTTGACAAAAAAATTTTAAAAAATTCCAATTTTACGGGTGATAACTAAAGTTTCAATTAATCAAACAATTAAAATTAATGACTATTCTATAAGAATCCTTTCCTATAAATATATAGACAAAACAATTCCTACAAGATCATTTCAACTAAGAACTCCTGCCTCCTCACACTTAAACAGAACCACGCCCTCGTGGTTAAGAGTGTTTTTGAATCGAAGTTAATGGTTGAAATGCTCACATGCAATTACTAAGTTATCGCAATACTTATAAGATTCAACAATGAAGATTGAAATAATAGATGACCATAACATGTAAATATGAAATAATTCTTAAGTTTTCTCAAAAGGGTTTTAATAGTCATAAAAAGAATAGAATTCCAAAATAAGATCATATAAATATCCAAAAATGATGTTTTGAATGCAGTAATAGGAAAATTAATGATCTCACTATCCCTGACGTTTGCCTTGCTTAGGACCCGACTCGCCTCATGCTCCGTTTTCTTTGCTCCTTGTTCCTGGATGTAGTCGAGTATTTTCTCCACCTGCCACTGCTGTGTGAGAAGGAGTGTCTCCATGCTCCTCAAACGAGAATCCACAGAATCCTGGAATGCAAACATAGCCTGCGAAAGCTCGCGAAGAGTCATAGGAATGGTATGCTTCTGTCTAGGACGTGCCTCCTTGTCTTCCTTATTGTAGGCAATCATGGCCAAATACCCCGTCGGTGGTCGGAACATGCTTGCAGCTTCTGGGAGAACATTTGGAACTGACATACGTAATCCCCGGGCCAGAAGCGTAACCATTGGCCCACACAAGACAAACTGGCGGTTGCAAGTAGACTGAGCAAACAAGAATCGAGCCACAAAAGTTGCTAAATTGACTGGTACGCGTGCTTCTAGACTCTAGAAAAATAGCATATCGGAATCAAACACCACGTCAGGTTCTTGAGAGCGGCCGAAATAGCTGTGAGCTAATGCATGGTGCAAAATTCTCCAAGACGGACGTGCCCAATTTCTAGCTAAGCTTGCTCCATTATGAAATCTTCCATGCCCATGAGCTTGCCAGAACTTCTTAACATCGAATTCTGGATCCAACTGGTCGCGCAGATTAGCAAAGGCCAGGCTCCACGTTTCATCAAGCGTGTAGAGACCAATCAACCACCCTAAGTCTGCCACGGTAAGGTTCAGTAGTCGACCCATCAGAGTGAACGTGACCTTTGTGGTGGCGGTGACTTCGGCTGCTGACTTTACCTCCTCTCCGTCATTGAGGAAGCGGAGGGAACAAAGATATTTGATGGTGGCTTCCAGGCTGGCTGGTGCATGCAAGAATAGCAGGATCCTCCATTTTGGGTCATAGAGCAACTCATCAATGTCCTGCCAGTGCCCTAGTTCATCCAGATAGGCAAGGTCCAGCACCATGGGAGGCTGGAGCATCTTCGTGTTTCCCCATGTGAGAAACTTCTTTTTCGCTTCTTCTGAGTGCAAGGGAAGCTCCTCCATGTTCTGCAAGGTGCGGCGGTTTCCATGCGGAATCATCCAAGCAACATCCATCTGTAGAATAGAAAAACGAGTAAAATCTTGCCCCCAACTGGTGCGGCAAGTAAATAGAAAATAAGCATATTTAATAATTTAATTATCTGAATGTCGGGTTGCCCCCCGTTTAAGCGCTTCTTTAATGTCCGTAGCTTGACGCCTTAGCCACTTTTTCCGCGACTTTCCGATCCAAGAGTCATAAAGTTTGGCCTTTTTGACTCTCTTCTGATACCACCTTGTTTGATTTATTTCTTGGTTAAGGTCCAGGATCCTTGACTCATCCCTGCGGCTTGGTGGCAACAGGATATATGGAGGAGACTCTAGATAGACAGGCGGTGGCGGAAGTCTCCTTAGTTGATCCACATCGTTGACCTTTATAGCGATATTGAATTTTTCCTTGTCTTCAATAGGCTGACTATCTATTTGTGGCGGAATGATTATGTCCGTACTTTCCCCTAAAGAAAAGTCCTCGTCGTCACTCACCAGAAGTTCATCCCAGCTCTTTAAGTTCCAACCATCCTTCGGGCAGACATAGTCATACCCGTCAAGTAGGGAATCAAAGAAAGTCTGGTCTGAATCATCAGTTGAATAATCATTTGCGCAGGTTATCATAGACGGAGTTGGCCTTTCTATGCATGATTTTTCCTCATCTATAGGTTCCTCCTTAGAGTCATGGACATTGGAATCTTGGGGATTTGTTGTGTGCACCTTTTCTTGAATAAGCATAGGTGGTTCTGAGTCAGGTTCCTTGGTTGGTTCCACCTCATGTACGACTAAGTTGGTTGGGACTTGGCTAGGCATGGGTTCAGGTAACATTACCACAGTAGCACTAGCGAGAGTTGTTATGCTCTCAGGTTTCTGTGATAGTGTTAGTCTGGGTGAATATTCTAGAACTAGGGTCTGATGATTGAGTGGTTTAAGGTTAATCTTAAGTTCTAGAGTCTCATAGTCTCCCTTATTTGGTCTGGAGATTGGAGGGAGCGTTTAAGTTCGATAGCCTTAAAGAGATCATTGACTAATTTATCAGCTTTAGCCTCAACTTCTAGTCTCTCTCTTTGAAAGTCGTCCAACAATTTCTGTATCATTTCTGATCCTTCACATAATCTCCTTTCAAACTCCCTTTTCTTCCGAACTAATTCAAGTAGTTTTGCTCTTTCTCGAATTGCCACCTTGTTTGCTTCAATTTGTTCTTCCGCAAATAAAGTGTAATCACGGGAGTAAGGTAGTTCATACTAGGAGCCTTCAGCGAATAAAACCTCGTTGAAATAGAAGATTTTCTGTTCTAATCTTATTATTTCTTCGACGAGCGGATCAGATTGATTGTCGTGCATTGGCCCATACTGGTCATAGTCATTGTGGTCACCACGAGGTTCATAATAATTATCCCCGTCAGAATCTTGGTATGGAGAATATCCAAAGTTTCTAGACGGGGTATCATATGTGGTTCCTC